TGGTTCTTTCATGACTATTGTTATTCGGATATTGATTTTGATTTCTTAGTTTATAATATTGGTTAATTTATTTAATCCTGCACTTAATTATTTGATTGCTTGATCACCAATTGAATACTATCTACGAATCTAGAGTTGAACTCGAAAGTGGGAATTCTAGATTGCATATAGGATTGAGTAGAGCAAGTTCTTGAACCTGGGCATCGGGGAACGGATTCGCGGTTAGGATAGACATATACCTAATTGTCTTGCTTGGTTGATTTACAGGAATTATAAATGTGTTCTTGTTGATTCTAACTCCATAGACATATAGGCGTTAGGTTAGATTGAATAGGCGAGTAAGAACTCGACAGATTCTTATGAGCAATATTAACCCTGTCAACCAATAAACTAGATAAATTAGTTAGTCAATTCAATTGAAGAATACAATAGGAATGTTAGATAGCCCACAACCCTAGATCGTTTTCATTACATTGATATCATAAAAATCTGCTCTTCCTCTGTTCAAAGTTCATTATTTGTTTTTATTTATTTTAATTAGTTTAGAATCAAATACTTCTAGGTTTAATTCTTGTACAGATAATTAGGATAGTCTAATTTAGTTAATAGTTAATCACAAGTCCTCGTGGGTTCGACATCCGACTTTTAGTCACTTTATTACTTGACGATCACGTGCACTTGCGTGAGTGCGTTTGGCCGCAACAACAGTGCATCGTGAAATTGAAAGAAAATTTTTGCAGAATAAGACATTTCTGCAGTCCACTATGCGGTCGCAGAATCACTTTGTGGACTGCAGATCCGCCGCAGAATGCAACAGGGCCCAAGCGAAATTTTGAAGAGAAATTTGCGGTCGATTATGCGACCGCATAATCATTTCGTAGGCCGCACAATCCGTCGCATATCCAGGAAAAAAAATTCGGAGGGAGATTTCACGGCACATTATGCGACATTATAACTGTTTTGCGGGCCGCAGAACGGCCATAGACTTGGGCAGGCCAGCCTAGTTTTTGGGACCATTTTTGTGGTGCGTTTTGCGGGCCGCACACCTGATCTACGGTGCACTCTGCAACCGCAGAGTTGAGTTCGGGGGGTCTATTTTCTGATATTATAACCCGATGCCATTTTGATTAAAAGCCATTGGGGCGCAAAAATCTAGTGTTTAGAGAGAGGGGAAGGGAGCTAAAGAGAGAAGGAAAGGCACCAACATCTCCATACATCAAATCCGTGCCCAAACCTTGAAATTCAACAAGGAAAGCTTACAAAGTCTTCCTAGGAAGTAAGATTCTACTCCCTAGACCTCAATTTCGGGATTGAACTGAAAGTAGGTACCGAGAAGTGTGATTCTTGGGTGTGGGAGTTGTCTCATGTGCATGTATGTACCAACAAGGGTTATGGGAATGTTCTTGAGCTTCAATGGGTGAACATTGGGTTGTGGGATAGAGGAAATCCACCATAAAAGAACTTTGAAATCATATCGCACACCAGTGCTTGATAAAATGCCTAAATGGGCTGAACCCATAAATCTCTTCCTAATTATGGTTTAATTTTGTCATCTCTCTAATATATTGAAGTCGCTAGGATTTTTAGAACGTCGTGGTAAATCAAAGAAAGCTCAAGCGAGGTATGTTGGCTAAACTTCTCTCCTAGAATCGAATCCCTCGGTGTTCTCGTAAGTTTCAAGTATGAAGGACCAAGCCCTTATTTCTCATGTTCCGAGTTATTCCTTATAAATTTGACTATTTCGAATAAGTTTGTGTTGAAAGATATATACTAAAAATGTGTGCCAAATGCTCCTATCATATAATGTTCTCCTTAGGGAATGTATTCAAATGTGACCAATTTGTCGAAATATTATGATCTCAATCATGTTTCAATTGCAAGTTATTATGCCAAATTGTGAAAGAAAGCTCAATGTGGTTAAGACTCTTGTTGCCCATATATGAACTTAAAGTCGTGATTATAAAGGCCTTTATTGTTGATAATCCATAATGATTTTTGAAAAGTGAAAGAAGGGAGTATGAAATATGAAATACGACCGACGTGCCAAGAACGAAACTATACTTGTGGTCACTAGTGCCAACGAAATGAAAAGATGTGTGAAAGAATATGAAATGAGCTTCAATTACTTTATATAATAAATGTTTTGGAAGTATCGTTTTGTCACCGAGAAAGGGTAGGCTGAATTAACTTAATCCCGAAACTACACGTGGTGGTGTAGGAATGATTGAGGGGTAAATCCCCGTATTGATGTGATGAGATTATTCCCCTTAATTGGGATGAGATTGATGTGATGAGATTATTCCCCTTTATTGAGATGAGATGATTGCTAGTGGAATGTGATGTCGACCCACACTGCATTATAGTGAGACGGCTTAGCCGATCGAGCTGAGATCGGACGCCATGTCGCGCACATGGTGGTGGTGTGATTGGATGTCTCTAGGTGAGACGGCTTAGCCGATGGGGCCGAGATCGGACTCCATGCTAAAAACACGATTGTGTATAGATACAAAAGATCTCCCAACCTAAAACATTGAAATTTACTCTTAACTTGACATTGCTATATTTTTTTAGGCTTTCATTGATTCCATGTTCTTTCCCATTGTATTGTTACTCGTTCTATTAAGAGGGTGTTTAGTCTAACATACTAGTACTATTCCATATGTACTAACATCCCTTTTGTCGGGGCCGCTGCATCTTTAATGGATGCAGGTGGTTCCACAGCAAGCGGCATCAATCAGTAATAGTGGTACACCCTCTTCCCTGGCGTTGTATCTTTAATGGATGCAGGTGGTTCCTCAGCAGACGGCATCAATCAATGGTAGCGGTACACCCTTTTCCAAGCTGACTTGGTGAGCCCCACTTTATTTTGGGGTCTTGTATCTTTTGTTCCTTATATATAATATTTTGAGGTATAGCATGGGCCTTTTTGCCAGTACCATCATAGTACTCTTTTGTACCCGTTAGAGTCTCCGTAGACATAGTGTGGGTTGTATCTTGGATTTGGGAAAGTTGAACTAAAGGTGTTGTATTTGTATCACACGTTTCCACTTGTAAACTATGAATATGTAATGTATTTTGGAAACTATAAACGAAGTAACTAATATTAATGAAATTGCTTTGTTCACGTGACCTTCTTATAGTCTAATTCATGAAAATTCACCTTCACCTTATTCATGGGTAAGTTCGGATAGAAGGCATTTAATAGGCTTGCTTGACTGAGGTATCTCAGTTAAGCGCCGGTCGCGCTCCTCGAGGTCGGGGCGTGACACTTACGAGAGTTATGTTTAGTGGGAGACTATTCCCTCAATTTATTTTCTCTTTTATATTAGTGATAAATTATATGCAAGTAATTTGATCAAATTATAATAAATTATCATGTCTTGTTTAGTATATTTTTATTTGTCGTCTTGATTTATCGTCACAAAATTTGCTTTGTTAGTTTTTGCACGATGCCTTAGTATTTCGATCCCAACAAGTGGTATCAGCGCCAATAATTTGGTGAGGTTGAAGACAGGTTTAAGGTGGATTTTGATCAAGCTGCAACTAATTTGACGACAATGAAGAATTTTGTCCAAAAAATATACGAGTACTACATTTGGAGACAAATTTTCAATCATATATTCAACATTCCTGATGCTGCAAATAAAAATTATTTTTAACACATGCTTACTTTTAACGTATGAACTCCATTTTTAACACCCGACTCCAATATTTTTAATTCGTGCTCACTTTTAATGTACAGGGTTCCAAATTTCAAATCATACCCACTTTTAATCAAGACAAGCAACAATGATGAAGATTATGTTAGGCGGATCAAGTATTGTCAAGATAATTCAGGTCAAAGGGGAGAATGGTTAGAATTTGCCCTAACTTTCGCCGTATTTGAATTTTCTTTTGCTTGAAGGAAGAACAGAATATTAACCATAACTGATTTATTTTCCTAAAAGAAAATATAAATCTCTTCTATATTTGACAAATCTCTTTCTTAGAAAGAAAAAAATTTTGTCTATAAATTCTTTCACATTAGAACACAACATGATGTAACCCTTACGGGAGTTCTATTTAAGGGAGACTATCCTTTTAATTTTTTTTTTTGTTTTCTCTTTTATACTAGTGAAAACTGCCTCTTGCAGAAATGTAAGATAAGGCTGCCTACAATATACCTTTGTGATCCAGCCTTTTCCACGACCCCACGCATAGCGGGAACATAGTACACCGAACCGTCCTTTTTCTCTTTTATATTAATGATAAATAATATATAGATCAATGGATCAAATCATAACAAAATTATTATGCATTGTCAATATATTCTTATTTGTGTTGATTTATCATCATCAAAGTTTACTTTGTTAGCTTCCCAATAGGGGATGTTAGAGAAAATGTTAGTTCCCTATGTTTCTCTACTTCTATTTCTCAGTCTCTGGTTTATCACCAGTAAACATTATCTGGTAAATTATTGTTGCTGCTGATGACATTTGACATTATTCTATATCTGGACTTGCGCACAACCCAGGATCTTCCACTGATTAAAAGATTGACGCAGAGGAATTTCTAGGAATAAATAGTTAAAAAATTGAGGGTCAATGACAACATTAATGAACTTCGCAGAAGTACATCCCAGCAGTCCCAAGTGTGCCTATCATAGGCGAACCCCAAGGCTGTCTCAAGAACACCTTTAACACATTTATCCCTAACATTTTCACGTGGATTCAAAGGTTTAACAGGTATAAGTGCCTTAACTACAGGAGAGGTGAGTCACTGAGGCTACATCACGCCATAATAGGTTTTCTAACAACGGTACTACCTGAATCGGCTCATCTTTGTGATCAATTATAAACTTAATTGTCATAAATACAACAATTTTTTTTAATTGGATGCACGGGATAGTGGAGGCCGATCCTGGCAAAGGACTCAAGCATGACCTTGAATGAGGGTCATAGCTCTAGCTAACGGAAGTTAAACCAAATCAAAGACCAGTAAACATAAAATGGAAAAGAGAATAGAGCTGATGAATATCATTACTGTTCTTTAGCCAAGTGCAATATTAAACAGCGATTCTTTACTCTTATCAAACAAGGTCGAGCTTTTGACTCGCAGTCATCCACCCAAACCTTCATCTGAGATAATCAAGATGCCATCAAAATCACTTTCTTGCTAGTAGACATACTTGGTGACTGCCTACCAAGGCTCAAGTGAATGAGAACAGCTTACCTTTTTTGCCTCTAACTTTCAGATGCATCAACAGTCTTCACATTCTCTCATATTGGTATCCTTTTCCATGTCAATCTCACACAATCAGATTATAAAAAAGAAAACAGAACATATTGCCATTGCATATTAGGAGAATCTTTTAAGAGCTGAAAAAGTACAGTACTTATGTAGCCGAATTACAGCCCCGAAATCAACGACCATACAAAAGCAGAGAACTGTCAGGACTCCCAACTCAAAAAATAATGGGTCATAGTCCAGCAGAAACATTAAGGAAAAATATTACACCGGAATCTGTCTTTGAAATTGGCATCAGAACATTAGAATGTCGATGCAGCACCGTCAGCAAACTTCTATGTGAAGGAAATGGCCACCAAAAATAAGGGCCATTTCCTAAAGATAGCTTTGGTATAAAACAGATTAAAAACAGCCACTTTAAGAGACCCCATTTATCTACACCTACTATTAGAAGTCAGTTCAGTATTACGCCCTTTCTAATGCATCACGCATGCTAGTCAAAAGATTCTCCTTTCCAAGAATTCTACTCAACCTATAAACTACTGTAATATCTACACCGGAGTTGCGTACTTCCAAGATATCACTCTTTCATCCGTTAAATTCTGTTTAACCAGTGAAATTCACATACAAGGCCAGATTACCTGAAATATGAACTAATAAACAGTCTTACCCCAATATCAAGCGGCCCATTCCCTCCTCCAATAGCATGAAGAGCAACAGTGATTGTTGAAAGAAGCCGTAGAGTCACAGGGAAAACAGCAGGTTCAACCTTTGCTGTACAAGAGAGACCAGATTTTGAAGCATCTCTAATTTCTAATACACCACTCCCTTCCCTATTATTCAGTCCACATAAATCCAATTCTTGGTTCAGCTCGCATGGGCTCACAATGAGTGCTACGTCTTCAAGTGACCTGCACTTCCCTGGACTACCCCTCCTGTTAAAGCGCTTATTCGTAGACGGACTAAGTACCAATGTCGAAGTAGCCTCAAGCCACTCCACAGTCAGTCCCTCAACTTCATCATAGTATATGCGCTGTTCAGTCTGGAAGTATGTAACAATATAAACAAGACATTTTGAGAACAGGGCATGACACATATACATAGCAAGCATAATCTGATGCAGAAAACTGGTCCTAGAGGAAGCTTCTGGATTGTAAATACTACTCCCTCCGTTTCAATTCATATGGCGCAGCTTAACTTGGTTTAGGAGTTTAAGAAAGTAAGGCTTCCAAAACTTGTGGTCATAAAAATGTTATAACATTTGTATGGCTATAAAAGCTTCTCGTTAAGGGAAGATGAGAAGTTTAAAGTTAAATTGTTTCCAAATAGAGAAATATGTCATTATTTTTGGAACGAAGTGATAAGGAAATAGTGTCACATAAATTGAAATGGAGGGAGTAAATAGCTCAATCAATCAAGGTAAAAAAGAACTTACGGCTAGCTTGTGTATGTACAAGGACATGAATCGTGGTCCCAAACCCATCACTCTTGCTTCTGAGAACAATACCTGCATGGAGGATAACACACGAATAATCAAAGGACTATTCTCATCAGTGCAAATTTGATAATGTACAAGGATGAGAGTACGTGATCTGAGGACTATTTTCATCGTGGAAATTTTGATAACGAGCAAAGAAAAAGGTTATACAAGTACCCAGGTTCTATTGTCCTCACATATTTCCATGTGTAGCTATTGCAACATACTAGAGACAAAATTAGAGCACAACAGTACACGATAATTATCCTGCCATTTAAGCCCTTTTCGGTTTAAAGTGATGATTGACACACGAGTGAAAGCTTTGATAAAGTACGAGGAAGAAAGTTACACAGTATTCAGGTCCTGCTATCCTCACTTCTTTCCCATGTAAAGCTGTTGGAACTTTCTATAAACAAACTTGCAGCATAGTTAACACTTAACAGTACAAGGATCTTCATTGTTCTTCCACTTTGCCCTTCTGTTTTTAAATCATGATTAATTGCATGTCCCCATTCTGATAGCATCACAAAGTTTTCGATTTCATCTGAGAGGAATCACAGAATCACCAATGTTTTGTTTGGGAAGGTGCGCAAAAACAATAGTAGACAAGCCACCCAATAAAAGGAACGAGAAAAAAACTGATACAATGAACGATATTTTGTTTCGTTAATGAAGAACCTAAAATGCTGGCAAAATAGAGAGGTATTATCTAAGTTTCTACTGTATTTCTTGTTCATCCATCTAAACAAAAAACAGAGAAGAAAATTTCCATATCCTCCTCCCACTTCTTCTTCCAACCAGTGCCAGACGATGTTGTGAGCTGCTAAATTTTAGAAAGTCTCGAGACCTGTATCTTTGTTATTATCCAATAAATATTCTAATGAATAAAGTAGCTTAAATTACATGATATTATTAAGTTTTTCTAGCATTCTGTTGCTCCTCGGTCTGTAAGTTCAGCCCTTAAACTGTCTCTCTTACACCCTACTTTACTGAACTTCCAAATTTCTGCATGCTCTTTACTCAAAATATAACAAGCTTATGCGTTTGCCAAATTCTCAACAATACTGCCAAGTTGAGGCCATTGCCTACCCCTTTTTCAGTGGCTGAAGTTCAGCTTGAGATCTATCACTTACAAACATCCAGGTAAGACCTGATAGCATTTCAGGTGCAAAAATTGCAGCTGCACTGATATAGCCTCAAACCATCAAGAAACATATCCCCCCCCCCCCCCCACAACAAACCCCACCCGGCACGCCACAACAAGGGCAGAAGATCTCACGCAAGTGCATGATATTTGTCAATTATAAACAAGCATTTAGCTTTAACATGCATTTATTAAAGGTCATAACACCTATGTCAGAGGCGGATCTAAGATTTGAAGGTGGCACGTGCCACAATTTCTTTTAATGTACACCTTGTAATAACTAATATAGATTTTGTTCGGAATATTTGTTCGGTTCATTTTTTTAGTTTATTCGGGCAAATTTAATAGGCATTTTTCATTTGCAAATATGAAAATTATCTCTTTCTCATACCCTACTTATGGGATTTCACTGGGTATGTTGTTGTTGTATGAAAACTATATCTCAGACATCAAGAAGCAAATGTAATTAGCATTTTTAAGAAGGAATCACACCCTTATTATTAAGGATACAAGTAAAATTAATATTTTCACTAGGGAATTATATCTTTTTTTGTATGCTAAAAATAAGTTTGCACAAGTAAAATAACATCTTCAATAAGGGAATTCCACCACTCAAAATAAGAAAAAAAATATCATCAAAAGGTAAATTATACCCCATAAGTAAATGCAGAATCAGATAAACTACAAGATCCCAAAAATTAAAATCATGAATCTCATTTTTTTCTAGGCAATGCTTGTGAAATATATCATAATTTAATAGTAAAGAGTTTTAAATTGTATTTAACAATCATAGAATAGCACAAATTTTTATTGAATTTTTAAATTTTGGAGGCTAATAAAATAATAACCGACATATAGGAAATTGGGAGGAAGCCAAAAAGGAAAATGACCTGGACAAAGGAAATAAAAAGCACAACGAAAGGAAAAGTCAGATAAGGTTCAAGATAAATTCGAACTTGATAAAAAGGTTTACCAACCGTGGCGCCTTTATCTAATTTGGGACTGGGGGTGGCAGGATCAAATATTTAACCTAGTTTAAGAAAATTTCTACATAAGTATATGATAATTTTACCAACCTAGTGGGTGCCATACCACCCCCACCCTAAAGGGTGGATCCGCCCCCGCCAATTGTTACCTCCAAATACCTTTCTTTTTGTTGTATAAAAGTATAATACTTTGAACATAATTTACATACCTCCTTTCCTTTTAGAAGTACCCACATGTAGAGTTTCTCCATAGCATCTTTCACGTGCCTGCTAGCCAACTTTCTTTCATTGCAATGGGAAGCAATACCAGCAAGAGTTTTTGCACATGGAACCTTATGTTTTGAAGCTGCTGCAGATAATGCTTCTTGAGCTTCAGGTGATCCAATTGCATCTTTATCAAAGCTGGTCAAACATCTTTCGCGTGTCATTTCTCCCCCATCTGGATTGTGCAACAGTTTGAGCTTCAGATACGCCTCTTCAGCTTCTAGAGCTGCAGCAAGCATCCGATGTACCAGAATATCCGGATAGCGCCTGAGCGGAGAAGTAAAGTGCGTATATAAAGGAACAGCAAGCGCATAATGACCCCGATCATTTTCATCTTCTACGTCTCCACTGCAGAAGTAAGTTGCCAACTGCATGGGTCTTGAGGCGTAAGACATAAGAATATCCAATAACACAGAATCGTCTGTGAGCTCTTGTCTAATGCGCTCCAATGAATTATGGAACTGGCCAGAGGAAGATGTGTCCAATCTCAGACCATGTTTGGAGCAGAAGGACTCGAACTCTCTGAGCTTACGTAGGTTGGGTTCAGGGTGCCTTCGCAACAGTGCACTAGAAGGGTAAGCTCTAGTTATAACTTCAGCAGCTGTCCTGTTAGCCAAAAGCATAAACTCCTCAACAAGGAAGTTCGACTCCTTCCTTACACTGAGCACACTATCATAAGGTATCCCTTCTTTATCAAATAAGAAAACTATTTTGGGGCTTTCGAGTGATAAAGCACCATCGTCAAACCTTTTTTTCTTCAAGATTTTAGAGATTTCATAAAGGTTCTTCACAGATGTAACAACATCAGACCATTTAAAAAGGCCATGTAACACTGGCCAAGAACGTTCTCCTTTATAAGAACTTGGATCATCAAGCAATCCATCAATAATATCCTGAGCATGCTCATAAGAAAGCTTGCAACAAGATTGAATTATAGTGCGGCCAATCCAGCGCTGACTAACTTCCCCAGTAAGACTGATGTCCCAAAAAATAGAAAACGCAAGTTTGTCCACCCCAGGATTAAGCGAACCCAAATTCTCAGAGAGCAACGGTGGCAACATGGGCAATTTACTTTGCAACAAATATACACTCGTTGACTTCGCTCGGGCATTTTCATCTAAAGCCGAGTCTGGTAGAACAAAGTATGAGACATCAGCAATATGGACCCCAACTCTAAAATTACCATCAGACAACCTTTCAACAGAGAGTGCATCATCAAGATCAGTGGCAGAAGCAGGGTCAATTGTAAAAACACAGAAATTTCTGATGTCTCTTCTACTCTGAAGCTCCTCTTTAGGTATTTCCCAAGGAATACTTGGAAGACATGATAAGGCCTCTTGAGAGAATTCTGAAGAATCAATTGCATTTTCAAATAAGATTGCAGCAAGCTGCGGCTCCACTTCTCCACCTCGTCCAAATATGTCAGTGACATGAGCTTCTGGAATATAGTTCTCTTCTGCCCAGTCTGCAATCCGTGCAGCTACTAGGTCCATCTCCAATGTCACATCACCAGCTTCCAATCTTTTCAAAATAAAGTCTGGCAGGCTCTTAAAGGGTACCATCATTTTTGGAAACCGAGGATCATTTGGTGTTAACAGGAGATACTGACAGCTCAAGGCAGTCGACAAATGTCTATTCTTCTTCGAGTCCCTTTTGTAACCTTCTCTACTCCACATCCACTTCTTGACACTGAGAAAACCAGTGATAGTGTCCCGACGAGGTGAACCCTCAAGGATAGCGACAACCCTTCCTGTTGGTCGTTTAGATGGAAATGAATTCACAGTGACGGACAATCTCTCGGTCGCATGCAAAGCATCATTCATTTCACTAGAGCACCCAACTATGGAAGGTTTCGACGCAGTCAAATTATGTCCATTGACACAAACATTCTCAACTGGTACTTTTTCTTCTGGATTCGACACTTCTCCAAAGGATTGCCCACTTCTATTACATACTGCATTTTCTAAGGGGCTAGAGCAATTACCGCAGCTACTGGACTCAAAATCTGCAGCTACCTTGTTCTTCCCTTTGCAATTCTCTCTAACAAATTCTGAATTGTCAGACTCCAACATACCATCATCTACCAAAGCGGAATTCTCAACACCAGCTGTATATCCTTTCATTTTAGTCCAAAGAGAAGGAGGATCAACTTCAATAGCAACAATGTCTCCTTCAACCTGCAAGAAAGTGTAGAAAAGAAAATGTTATCCTGCAGAATGGCACACAATGTAACTAATAAACAAACCGACACCTAAGAAATTAAGCAAGAAATAAAAGATACACCACACTTACGGCTCTGTTTTGAACTGCAGGTCCACTAATAAGAACATCCGCTCGCACACCATCAATTTTGCAATAGGCCTGAGAAGCAGGGGTTATATGATTATGAATCTCATGAACCCACCAGAAGAACTACAAATTTTAGGCATAACCAAAAATGGAGCAGCAAAGAGACCATGGCAAATGTTACTAGAGATTACCTCAAGTCTATTGTGGGCGTTGACACGAAACAATGCTTTAAAGATATGACCCCTCTGCAGAACAACAGAAACGTATCATCAAACTCTCATTCAACGACACATTCTTTTAATTACTTCATTTACCAATATACAAGTACTAAAGCAAGTTACGAGGCTGACCTCTAGTGCTTTATGAACAGCTTCTGCTGGCCAATGTGAAGCAAAATATTTCCTCTGGGGGTAAGAAGTAATTGGCGGGTCTCCGTATACAATGGGATCTGGGCATGAACCTGAATATATTTGTCCACCAACACCAGGTAACATTGTTAGCTGCACAGGGAGACTTTCGCTCTCCGCTGCCTGTTCATTAAAATGCATCGTAGGCAACGAAGTAAAAGCAATGTTTGATGCTCTAGGCAATGAAAGCTCTTTAGATCCTTCATGATCCAAGATAGGAACATCTCCCTTGAAATCTGATTCCCCAAGACAGACAGTCAGCGAACTACTTGCTGTTCCAACTACAAGCTCAAAGAAGTGAGAGGAAATTACAAACTACAGACAATTTCATACTAGAATCAAACTTATATGCAGGATGAGTTCAACTATTTCCCCTACTAGGGAAAAAGACTTAGACAGCACTAAAAGGCAAACATGATAATTAAAATTTCAGTTACATTAGTTACATCCATTGTCAAAGAAACCAAAGAGGAAGTACAATAGCTTACAATAAACATGAAGTGCAAATATAATTAAAATATAAGAACAAACAAGAAGACACGTGCACTTCTACTCTAGCATCAAGTTCCTTTTGACAAATTGGAGTGAAGCAAGCATACATGCATTTTAATATACGCACACGCAGACACACTGATGGCTGAATAGATTTCTTTTTCTTAGGCATTTGATTGAATATTGGTACAAGCCCGTAAATAGACGGCTATGATTAATTCAACTGTGCCTAAAAGTCTTACATTTAATTAATATTATTGTATATATAAATAGAAAGCACAATCACTAGGCAAGAAAACCAAAAATAAAGCAAAAAGTTTCACTAATAAAATCAAGAAATTATATAATTATGTTTGCAATTTCATAGAGGATGCAAAAAACACTAGGTGATTTCTGCCTTGGTGAGCTCAGTTATCACTGGTGGGAGATACCAGTGGAATATAGAGGTTCACAGTCATCAAATAGTAGTAATGGCCGGCCAAATCCAATAAAACAATAACAAGTGAAAGAACAGCGCACGGGTGAAAACTAACTTGGAAATCCTACAAAATAAAATCACATAGAACATACTATACAAAATTACGTACCTGTAGGAGGAGAGATTTGCTTAGATCGTCTAGATCGACGGTTCTTCTTCTTATCCTTAATCGGAGTATTATTGTTATTATCAACTACTACAGCTGTCTGATTTTGGGTTTCCGCAACCACTTCACCCATATTCTCAAAATTTAAACCCACAACAGAAAAAAGTAAAGGAAATGCGAACAAAAAACAAAACAATCAATAAACAAGCATCTTCCGGTATAAAAATTGGCGGAAGAAAGCTGGGTGAGGGAGGAATTACTACGATATTTATATAATGAGTTACTCATGTATTAGCAGGGAGATAATGGGGGTTTGGGGAGGGGGGGTGAAAGGAACGTGATGATTGGTCGGCGTAGACAAGGGCGCCGACTATTGATTCCTTTGTCTTCTCCTCTTCCCATTTCCTTTCCTTTCTTTTTCATTTCTATTTTCTTTTGTTAGCTCTCTTTCTTTTAATCTTTTTTTTTTTTCCTTTTTAGGTAGATATGCTTTTTATCTTACTCCTCTCTTTTGCTTTGAGCGAAAGCATTGGGTGGGATGTGAGGACACGTGGGAACTTCTTTTTCTCTTTTCCTTTTCAAAATATTTGGTGCGTTTAGACGAGTCCGAAACCTAAATATCAATATTTTGGACTCAAAACACGTAAAAAAAAAAAAAGTTACTTTTCTATAAAATGCGATATTATACTGCGTTTTACTTTAACGGAGTTTTAGCTGTTAAAGTAAAGCACGGTATAATACCGCATTTTACATATAACGCGGTATAATACCGCGTTTTACTTCTTTTTTGGGCCCACCAATAAGTGTCTTGCTGTTAACTAACATAACAATAATTCAAATATACAAAGCGCAGTATTATACCGTATTTTACATCAAAAAATTCTGCCCCCGAGCTAGGATTTGCCTTATTTAAAGGCGTTAGGATTTTATGAAAATCCATTCAAAAAATATTCTAACTTCCGTTCAAATTTTTCTTCTTATTATCAAGCATTTTTTATAATGTCTGATGAGCCAAAAACAAGGATTTTATTATATTGGGGAGGTGAGTTTGTAGCGGAGAATAACTCTGTGAGGTATAGTTTATCTCCACAGTGTCATGTTAAATTACCGATTACAATGGAGTAGATAAATTGGTATCGTTGATATGTAAAAGAATGAGTGTGAGAAAACGTTCGGTGAACCTTAATCGGTAGATATCCGTATTATGTTACCCCATAGGGGTTTGCTTTTTATTCTGAGTTTAACATCGAAGATGATGAAACTCTTAGAGATTTTTTGCGGATTCCGAATAAATACAGACAATTTATTGTTATTAAATTGTTGGAAATATACGTCAAGGTTGAAGACGTTCCCAATAATGAGGTTGTGCATAGTAGGGATAACCCCCAGTCATCGAGTGATTATTCTAGAGCAGTTTTTGCCAGACAGATTCCTGATGAAAGAGTTTGCCTTGATTTAAACTTATCACCACCGGCAAATGATCAGCGAGCAAATAATTTCTCGACTTTATATAATCCACAAGACGATTGGTAAACTTCAATTTTTCTACACTTTAACGATGTTTATTTTATGTTGAATTGGATTTGTATTAACACTCATATTTTCCACAGGGGTACCGTCCGGATATGAATTTTATAAGTTATGACGCCGCTCCTAATTGGAATATGTGTAATTCTGGCGTGTTGGATCACGGTGGTCCATCAGAGAGTCATCACCAACAAGAAAATGTCCATCATGGAATGTCAACACAGTACGACTTGTAAGTGAAGTGATATAGCTATATGAAAAGTATTTATCAAATTGAGTAGCTTATCATTTTGTTCTTTTTGTGCAGTGAAAACGAGCAACTTGATGTTCCTGACCTCACACAGTTGCCCGTAGACGACGTATTGACTCGTGATTTGGCAGATGCGCAGAGTCAAGAAGATGATAATGATTGTTGATACCCAATTTTTCCCTATATATTTTTAAATATGTATAAATACCTCCAAATAGCATATATATGCATATATAAGCATGCACAAGGTTTTATAATTTTTTTCCATGATTTTAAGGATTGAAATTGATTTATTTTCTTCCCTCTTATTCATAAAATCCCCAATAATTATTTCCCAAGTTATTGTTATGATGATTTATTCATTTAATTTCTATACTTATACCAAAATGTGGTTTATATTTTTTTATGCATTTTTATAACTGCATTTGGTATTTTTTTTAAGCTAAATTGCATATAATTGCAATGTTAGCCTATTTAGTGTATAATTACATTTTATATGCGTAAAATTGGTCCATATATTTTTAAAATGATAATTACATGTTTTAAATCATTTTGGCACATAAAATTATTTTTAGAAAACTATTTATTATTTATTATAAATTAAATAGGGAAAAGTAGCTATTTAAATTATAGCTAGATTTGGCTTTCAATTGTAGCCCAAATTGAACCCATTCCCCAGCCCAATTTCATACCCAATTAACCTGACCCAGACCCTATATACACCTACCCAAACCCGAAACCCATCTACCCGATCAAATCTTGGCCGTTGATCTCCCAGATCAACGGTCCATACGACCCCTTTCCTTTTTTAATTCCTAAGACCACCCTAACCCTAGCCATTCTTCACAGCCCGCCGCCTTTGAATTCTCTGGTCTCCTCTCTTCTCTCAACCTGACCCTAATCCCTGTTCAACCGCCGCCTCCTTCTCCGGTCTTCTCCTGTGACCACCTTTCAACCCCAAGCCTCCAATGGTTCCTCCATTGCCTTGCTCATCCTCTCTGAGGCCTTCAAGGGCCCTGGGCCATGCCGACTTGTATCTAGGGTTGCTGTTTTGGTTGTTCATGGCTTCTCCGGTGTGATTTTGGGCAAAATCGCACCATATTTGTTACGATCTTTGAAGTTTATAGCAGGTTCTTCCGTTTCTATTTGGGTTTCCTTTGAAACCCTAACTTTCGTTTGTATCTTTTAAATCTGTGCTATTTTTGACGATTTAAGTCTGTTTCTTTCTATGTTTTACACTATTCTCAAACTTCTTTTGCAAAAAAAAAAATCATCGATTGCGAGTTGTTTTACTTTGTTCTAAAGCTAGGGTTTTCGGAATTTCTTATACACTTTGTATAAATTGATTCTTTATGTTTGAAACTTCTATCCTTGCATATCTTGACTGATTCTATGTTCTTACTGCCTTTTCAACTCACCTATGTTAAAAGCCCTTATTTTTTTAGATCTTCTTTGTTTTGGTTCTGTGTGTTAGCATGACTGCTCAATTCTTGTTAAGTTTCTGTGGTTACCGTGCTTTGAATAGGTTTTACTGAGTCCTTAGCCTACTTATATCACCTCTATGTGATTGTATTCATCTTGATTGTTCATCTCTTGCCTCTTTCTGTCGATATTGCTGACCTTGCATGTTTGCTACGTCTGTTTGTTCTTCTCTATTTATATGTTGAAGTATAGAATCATAACTCTCTCTTGATTGATTCTAATTTCCTTATTTGATGGTTTGATTGAAAGATTTTCTTTTAAAACCCTAAAATTCTACCTCGTCTGTTTAAATTGACTGATCCCCCTACCTTATTTGCTGTGGTACTTTATTCTCACTGAATCATTCCCTTAATTGGAGTTTTCCGAACTTAGTCCTAATTGACTACCATATGCTTACTAAACCTTGATTCTCTCCTTATTAGTCATGTACTGATTTTTCTTGCCTTATATGTTATTGGTTCTTACCGTTTGAATTAATTCCCTTAACTTAAGGGGGTACTTGCCTTGATTTTTTGACTGACTGATTCTAATTTCCTTAATTACCATGCTACTATGATTCTTTCCTTATTTGCTACCTGTTTTCAAGCTATAAATACTCTAGTCTTTCATTAGCACAAGACACGAACATTTTTGGGTTCAAAATTATCTCTCATACTAAAAAAAATCTCTGCTCTCTCTTGTGCTATTTGCTACTATTTTAAGTTAGCCGGCTGCAAGCCAAGGCTAACCATTTGTGCTCTCTTGTTCTTTCATTCTGCTTACTCTCCTCTTCACCTAGTTTCAATTTAAAGTTCCAACAACAACATGATTCTCTTATTGTTTCAGTTCCTCTTATTTCTAGTTTGTTTTTATTTATGGTTTTGTTGTGAAATTTGTAGTTAAGAGTTACATTATCAGCATGTTATTATGTCTTCCCCTTCCTTTAGATCAGTATATTCCCCTTTGTGTGTGTTTCTGAGCATGTCTTATCTCTTACTTGTTGTGTACTTACCATCCTATATCCCATGAATTCTCAAATCCCTATCACCCCTCTATATGGTTGTGTTCTTCATGTCTGGTTTTGTGACTATGCCGGTGTCAGCTTTTTCTGAGCATGTTCAAACAGTTCTAGACCTTTGCTGGGTTATGTGTTTGCAGGCAAATGTTCTATGTATCCCAAACCCCTTGACCCCTGTGTGTGACTACTGAATTTACTTGGTTCTGTGAGCTAGATATGTATAAACCTGTCCTAAGGTGTTTTGACTTCTGTTCATCTCTTCAAACAAGTCTCTGTTGTTCTACTACATTATTTTCAAAAGAAAAAGACTTTTTGTTAAATACAATTTCTTACTAAAACCTTTTCAATTTGTGTCCATCACTTCTCACTCTACTGTTAGTCAATAAGTTCTGCCCCCTCTAGTATGTGTTTTCTGCAAGAAAAAAGGTTAGGCCCTTACCCCCTCCAGACTCGATTACTAAGTATCAATAATTGACATAAAAGCACTTTAGTTCTCCAAATAAATGCACAGAACGTGATGAGGTTCGTTTGGGTTTCAAGGAAACCTAGTGGACTTTGAACAAGGCTATCTTAAAGAGTCATTATGCGGACAACATAACTAACTCGGCTAGGTTTGACCATGAAGCATGTACAATTAAACGGAGTAAGGTTTCTATGTGGTATTAGACTGGTACCCTTGAGCGGACAACTCAAGAGGGAAAGGCACGGAACCGTCGACTACACCGTTGATTGACTGGTTTTACCGCAAATATGCCTTTGCCAGATTTAGGGGGTGATAATATCGGAAGAGCGCAACCACTCATTATAAGCGTTGCTATGGTCTTTTGTTTGGCACGAGTGGAATATGATGTTGAATATGCAGTTACAATAATCAAACAAGTTGTCACGTATTTGCACGTTCATAAAGTAATAATTACAATAGTTTCTCAGAATTTACAACAGTATTAAAGGAAAGCGATAAAGGGAAGCATTAAGAGAAATAAAGGAAAGAAACAAAGAGCCAAGTCAGTTTCGCGGTAGAAGAAGAAAAATACTTAAAGGCATTTAAACAAATAAAGACATATAAAGAAGCATAAAGTCACAAATAGCATGAAATGGTGAAAGCCTTAAAGAAATCCCCAGCAGAGTCGCCATGCTGTCGATCTTT